AGGTAGCATATATAATGTATAATACAGTGGGTCTAAAACAGAACCATGTGGAAATCCAAAGGTGTGAGTGGAGAAGTCTCCATTTACATCTACGAACTGATAATGATCGGTCAAATAAGACCTGAGCCAACAACATTTTCTAATCTATCAAGGAGAATAGTGTGATCTATAGTATCAAAAGCTGCACTAAGGTCGAGTAACGCAAGCGAGACACAGCCCTGATCAGAGGTCAGAAGAAGGTCATTTACTACTTTAACTAACGCGGTCTCTGTGCTATGATGAGGTCTAAATCCTGATTGTTAGGAATGACATTCATAAAATGTTATTTCTATGTAAGTATGGGCATAACTGCTTTACTACAACCTTTTCTAAGATCGTAGAGATGAAGGGGAGATTTGATATAGGTCTATAGCTGGACAGTTGAGAGGGGTCAAGGTCAGGTTTTTTAATCAGGGGTTTAATAACTGCTAATATAAGTGATTTAGATACATAGCCAGTGCGATGTGATTTGTGCTCTGACTTGCATTGTTAACTGTGGGACCTTATATAGACCGGTGTGTGCCTTCCCAAATCATGTCCAATCAACTGAATTTACCACAGGTGGACTCCAATCAAGTTGTAGAAACATCTCAAGGATGATCAGTGGAAACAGGATGACCTGAGCTCAATTTTGAGTATCATGGCAAAGGCTGTGAATACTTAAGTAAATGCGCTTTTGTTGTTTTTTGTTTTTTACTAAATTTGCAAAGATTTCAAACAAACTTCATTCACGTTGTCATTATGGGGTATTGTAGAATTTTTAGGAAAATAATGAATTTAATAAATTTTGGAATAAGCCTGTAACAGAACAAAATGTGGAAAACGTGAAGCACGGTGAATACTTACCGAATGCACTAATATTATATATATATACACACACACACAGTCATGTGGAAACATCCGATGGAACTTGCTTGTCCAAATATGTATAAAATAAAAAAAAGACAACACACAGTTAATCCTCTTTGAAACAGTGCCTATTAATGAAGTTGATACACTATCAAATGACAAAATTGACAGAATTTTCACAATTTGACACAAAGTGAACAGAAAACATCTACATATTGGCAATGAGCATATAGGCAATGACCAGGCCTTTTTCTCTGGCCTTTTATAGAGCTGTTTGGCCACAGTAACAACAGACATGTTTGGCACAGACCAAAGGTAACTTTTCAAGAAAAGCACCTCATACCAACTGTGAAGCACAGTGGAGGTAATTTTATGGATTGGGGTTGCTTTGCTGCCTCAGGGACTGGACAATTACATTCATTGATTTTAGATTCTATGAATTGTGCAAAAAAATAAGATAATGTGAAGCCATCTGTCTGAAAGTTGTAGGGTTATGGACTGGCCTAGTCAAAGCCAGGATTGAATCCAACTGAAATGTTGTGGGGGGAATTGAAATATATGAAATATATGGCAGTATATGAAAGAAAACCCTGAAACATCTTGCAACTGAAAAAATATTTTATAGACGAGTGGTCAAAAATTATAGCAACCCTGGTGGACATTTATGCAAAATGCCTACAATAAATTATTTCTGTTAAAGGGGGCAATACTAGTCTCTGAGACCAAGGGTGTACTTACTTTTTCCACAAAATAATATCACATCAACAGTATTGATATTTATTTTGAATAAATGATTGAAAAGGCTCATTTTCCTTGTGATAACCTCATTAATAGGCACTGTTTCTAGGATGATCAAATGTTTGCTTACATGGTGTGTACTTATTTTTTCACATGAATGTAAAGTGGTGTTTGAAAGTTTATGAACCTTTTCAAATGTTCTAAATTTCTGCGTAAATATGACCTAAAATAATCAGATTTTCACACATTTCAAAAGACGACAAAGAGATCCCAATTAAACAAATGAGACAATAATATTACATTTGGTCATTTATTTATTGAGGAAAAATGATCCAATATAACATCTGTGAGTGTAAAAGTATGTGAAGCTTTGCTTTCAGTATCTGATGTGGCCATAACTGCACGTAAGGGTTTCTGGGAAATGTTGATCAGTCCTGTTCAATGGCTTGGAGGAATTTTAGCCAGTTCCTCAGTACAAAAACGGTTTCCACACATGAAGTGTTTGCTTCAGGTCCTTCCACAGCATTTCGGTTGGATTAAGGTCAAGACTTCGACCTGACCATTGCAAAACATTAAACATACTCTTCTTTAACCATTCTTTGGTAGAATGACTTATGTGGTTAGGGTTGTTGTCTTGCTGCATGACCCACTTTCTCCTGAGACTCAGTTCATGAACAGATGTCCTGACATTTTCCTTTAGAATTCATTGTTCAATCAATAATGGCAAGTCATCCTGGACCAGAAGCAACAAAACATGCCAAACCATGATACTACCACCATCATGTTCCACAGATGGGATAAGGTTCTTGTGCTGGAATGCAGTGTTTTCATTTATCCAAACCTTACCATTTACATTACATTTATTCGCTTAGCAGATACTTTTATCCAAAGCAACTTAAAAATGAGCACATTTTTTATTATAATTTTTTTTTTTGTGATTTGGTTAGGTGTTCACGGAAGAGGTGGGTTTTTAGCTGTTTTTTGAAGATGGTGAGAGATTCTGTGGTCCGCATTGAGATTGGAAGTGCACTCCACCACTGAGGAACAGTTAGCGTGAAGGTTCTGGAAAGGGACCTTGCGCCACGCTGAGTGGGAACTACTAAACATCGTTTGCTAGTCGATTGCAGATTGCGAGAGGGAACGTAGGCCTTCATGAGAGAGTTGAGGTAGGAGATTGCTTTTCCTGACAAGGTCTTGTAAGTGAGCATCAAGGCCTTGAATTTGATGCGGGCAGCTACAGGAAGCCAGCAGAGGGAGATGAAGGTGGGTGTGACATGGGTTCTCTTGGGCTGGTTGAAGAAAAGGCGCGCTGCTGCCTCGTTAAACATGATAAATTTAACATGTAAAACATGTTGTAAAACTTTAACATGTAAAACTTAAATATCTATGTAGCTCAACAAAAATATAAATGGGTCGTCCATCAACTGAACGTATGCTGTCAGCTAAAATTTAAAGTTGTATTTTTGTATTTAGTTACTTCTGTTTCTGAATAAATAAGCATCGTCATTAAATTACAAGTCTGTTTTTATTTGATGGTCAGAAGCTGTATTCAATGACGAATAACCTACAAATCACAAACATGACACTTGTAAATAAATACATTTTATATATGCGATTTATTAGATCCTTAAAAGAAAAAGACGTAATACTTGTTGGAATTATACAAATGAACGTCAATAACTTGCTAATAGTAAATTACCTGAATCTTTATAATTGGCATGGGCCTCCTGTCAGTGTTGTTCACTCAGAATTCATTAAATATTACTTTGATGAACTTTCTACAGTGGAAAAAATAAACCAGTCATACATGGCAAGGGATCAGACACCATTCCTCCATCTCTCCAGATCCTTCAAGTTTCGTGATCCATGCTGGTGGACTCTCCTGTTCAATTCACCACACAGGTTTTCTATGGGTTTCAGTCAGGAGACTGGGATGGCCATGGCAGGACCTTGATTTTGTGGTCAATGTATGTTTCGATGTAAAATCAAGGGAAAATCCTGAATTTCAGACTATTTGGAGAACTCTGTGTGTGTGTGTGTGTGTGTGTGTGTGTGTGTGTGTGTGTGTGTGTGTGTGTGTGTGTGTGTGTGTGTGTGTGTGTGTGTGCGTGTGCGTGTGCACGTGTGCGCGTGTGCTCACTCGCGCAGACACGCTCATTTCTATCCCTTTTCCAGGACGCTAAAAACATGAGTTGTTGTCAGACCACTGCAGCGCATAGCGAGGCCCACAACCTCAGTGTACGTTATTTAAACTAATTATTAAAACTACATATAATCATTAATATTTAACAGTAATGGAGGAATGGCACAGAACATAGCAAAGTAAAAGTACATTTCTGTGAATAAAATTGAACTTGAGTAAGAGTATAAATCTGGCCAGTTAATTATTAAAAGTAACTTTATCTTTTTTTTTTAAAGTTACTGAAGTAAATGTAACAAAGTGAAATGTAGCGCGTTACTACCCACCTTGTGAATATACTCTTTCTGTAACTGCACATTTGATAAATGTTTAAATTAATACATAATGTTTGAATATTTGGTAAAATTTTTATCGATTCACACAGTACAGTACAATATAACTCAAGTCAATTATGTGGAACAGATGAAGGAATTTGAATTATGTAAATTGAGCTTTTTTAGTGTGTGGACTTCAGTGTTCACTTTAAAACAGTTCTTAAACGACTTTTAATCAAGAAAAGTGTCACGTCTCGTGACGTAAGGAAGTTCAGACGGATGCAAGCGCTGTACAAACAGGTTTAATTTAGGAGAGAGACAGGCAGATACATCCAAAATGTGATCCATAAACGTTATGCAGTAACAGGAAAAAGTTCAGGCGATCGGCAAACAGGCATACACAGGGCTAAGCAGGAATCATGTCAACAAAACATGAAACATAAACTACCGCAAGGGACTGGTAGCGGAGAAACCAGCGTGAACTAAACTGACTATGACTATGACTATGACTATGACTATTGCATTCACCATCAAATGCATTCATTCATCTAATATTCCGCGTTGTGTGCTGGGAGGCACGCGGTATATATACGGACATGATCAGCCTCGTAAATGCTAGCAGCTGAGGGCAATACAGACCCATGTGGAATCCCAGCCAATGACAGAACTGGGAGGGGACATTGCAGAAACATAAACAAACACACGTGTCCAAATGTCACAACTCCACAAGGGAAAAGCAGTTGCTCACGCACCTGCTCGTGCACGCGCGCTCACATGCTCCACAGCGTGCTGCTCAACGGGGAACTCGTGACAAAAAGAACAAGTTTCCATTGGCTATAAAATAGAAGATGGAATTAATTCAGCATTACTTTGAGGAAGTTTCTACAATTGAAGAAATACAACAACTCATCAAAAACATTAAACTGAGATGAGACTCGAACCCCAGCCACTGGCATACTAAATCTGCGTGTTACCACTGCACTATACAAATATACATACCAAACACAAAATGTAACTACCTACATTACCTACTACTTGACTCTACCACACTCATGCTAGTAATTAGAAACTTGTTTAAATAAAGTTTGATTTGGAATTCGATGGAGTAGAACGCGAAATTGGAAGCTCCTGCTAATTTCGATTAAAATTGTAATTAATTTGCATTTTTCGGTCATACAATATATTTTGACTTCTACTCCGTTTCCTTATTTGTACTTTTAACATTGTGACATGTTAAAATATCTGGAAAGAACACGAAAACCCGTGGTAGCATTCAGACAACAGAGGCCTAATGTCGCGCAGCGAGCGAGCCCCCTTCTTCCCCTGAAGCCGCATCGCCGAGCGGTGATCCTGACCTCACCACATTCACCTTTGTAATATCACAGTCTAAAACTGGATTTAAAGACAAGCAAATTAGTAAATGAATCACATGGAAATTAATCACTTGATTATGAATCACATGAAAATGAATTACATGTAAATGGGTCATATGTAAATGAATCACATGTAAATTAATCACATGTAAATTAATCATCTGTATTAATAAATAATGAATACAAAAAATTTATAAATAAATTAAAGGCAATAAATAAGGTTTATTGTAGGAGTTGATGAGAAACGTGATTTTTTTCTTAAATCTAAACGACCACACATTCCTTTTTTTTCAGGCTCGACAACGTTTTCAGGTTCGACAACGTTCTGCTGCTTGTTGCAAAATGGTTCTAAGAGGTTCCCAGATCCGTGGGCCAAGCACAAGCGGATCATGGGCTTCAGTACAAGAAACAGCACGGTTTGGTTGGTAAAAGAATATATGTGTATACAGAATATGTCCAGGCAGAACTACTATATCTTCTAGCAAGCAGTGTTTATTCAAATGAAACATGCCTGCCCCCTACTGGTTTTGTATTTCCTGCACACACGGGAAACAACCTACACAGGGCAAGGGTGATGGGATCACAATCCAGCATTCGAAGAAGACTTTTAGTACAGAAATACATACCACAAGATATAAACCACCCATGTGCAGTAAGAATCAGAAGGACAGATTGAAACTGGCAAAGAAATACAGAGATGAGCCACAAAAGTTCTGGAACCAAGATTAACTGCTACCAAAGTGATGGAAAGGCCAGAGTGTGTAGAAAGAAAAATCTGCACATAATCCAAAACATAGAATGTCAGTCAAGCATCGTGGAGGTAGTGTCATAGCTTGGGGAAAGCATGGCTGCTTCTCGATGGGCTCACTAATCTTTACTGATTATGTAACTTATGATGGTATCAGCAGAATTTATTCATAAGTCTACAGATAAACAAATCTTCCAATTTATAGAGAAATGCATCCCAATCTAATTGGGAGGAAATTAATCATGCAGCAAAACAATGATCCAAAACACACTGCCAACACACCCAATGACTTCATCAGGGGGAAAAAAGTCAATTAAAAGCTCTTAAACCAGTTGAGCATGCAATTCGCCTCCAGAAGAGGAGGCTGAAGAGAGAAACCCCCCAAAAACTGAAAGAAGTTGCAGTTCAAACCTAGAAAAGAAACACAAAAGAAAAACACAACAGTTTGATGAATTCAGTGGGTCACAGGGTTGAAACAGTCATTACAAGCAAAAGATTTGCATCCAAATATTAAGCGTTATTTACTTTAAAACTCTGTTCTTATAGTTTTGCTCACCTAAAAACTGTGTGCAAAGGCATATGGGTCTCTGGGTACATCCTAAACTGTATTAAAGTTTGGAAAAAGGAAATTGCCAGTCACTCCTGCTGATTTATGATGGATGAGAAAATGCTTCAGGTTAACATAAAGTAAAGCAACATGCAAAGATAGTACAGAGAATGAAGAACAGAAACATGGGGAAAATGTACTCTTTTCTCCACAATTTAAATTAGCTGTGTAGGCTGTTTAATTGCTCAAATATGGTGGCATTAACCTAAAGCTGAAAACATTGAAGATCACTTTGGATCTAAATTTCTAATTCACAAAATGCAAGCATGCATTCAGGTTTCTTAAATGGTACAACTATTTATTACATATTTTAGCTTGAATGTCACTATTTACTAAGCATGCTACTAATGCTTGACAGTAACTGGGATGGTGCAGAAGGTGCTCCTCCATAGTTTTAGTTCCTTACAGAGTCTGCCATGGCTCAATCCTGATGCCCTACTTCTGGTTTGAGTTCTCATCACTTGGCAATCACTTGCTGCTGCTGAAGTTGGCCCCATATGATCAGCCTAAAGATCAATAAGATTACTTTGGATGGTACCACTTAAAATCATGAAGATGTCTTTGGACTGCCACTGACATGAAAAATTCTGTGATGACGTCTTAGTGCTGCAATTGCCACAAATGGTTTTGCACTCAAGTCTCAATCAGTGAACAGTTGATAACAAAATAGACTTCATGTGAAAACTATAATGAATTTCTGGGTTACATAATTGCACTTTTTTGTCCATGTAGGACACAGTTATAGAAGGGATTTATTTATAATTGCACTCTCTGGTGTCACCCAGATGAGGATAGGTTCCCTTTGCAGTTCCTCTCAAGGTTTCTTCATCATGTTGCCTCAGGGCGCCTCTGGCTTGCTCATTACGGATACATTTATTTAAAAAAAAATCCTGAACTTATATATTTTTAAATCTGCTTAGTGACAATGTCCATTGTTAAAAGCATTATACAAATAAAATTTAATTGAATTAATAAGCCAAAACTTAGGAAGAGGATTTGGGCAATGAAGGTTACTGAAGTTTATTATTAGTAGGAGGACTCCTTGGGGCTGGGATGTTTATCCTATCTACACATGCACTGTGACAGAGTTATGAGCTTGATCTGTCACTCACCTGTTTAAGTATTATTTAGCTTTGAAGATCATCCTTTGCTCAGCAGGGTGCAAGAAGCTTTGATCTTTTCCTCTCTCTCTCTCTCTCTCTCTCTCTCTCTCATTGTGGAATGAGGCTACACTACTACCAGGACTTTATTATACTGCACAATACAGAATAGGTACAGTCCCCTCTAAAAGTACTGGAACAGCAAGGCCAATTCTTTTGTTTTTGCTATACACTTAAGACATTTTGAGAGGGTTTGAGATCAAAAGATGAATATGAGATGATGGATAAGAATTTCAGCTTTCATTTCCTGATATTTACATAGATGTGTTAAATGACTTAAAACATGGCACCTTTGACTTGACTTAAAACCACCCAATTTTTAGGTGATCAAAAGTATTGGAACAGATATGTAGTCAAAGTAAACTACACTTAACATTTGGCTGTATATTCCTTGCTTGCAACAACTGCATCAAGCTGAGAAATCGTATCACCTCCTGGTTGGCACGTTCCGCCTGATCGTTCACTTGGGGGTGATAGCCCGAAGTGAGATTAACAGCGATCCCCATCTTCCTCATGAAACTACCCATACCTGTGAGGAGAACTGTGGCCCCCATCTGATACAATCTCTTCAGGGATGCCGAAGTACCGGAACACATGTTGGAAAAGGAGCTCTGCTGTGATGAAGGCGGATGGTAAGGCCGGGAGTGGAATCAAAGCCTTCGAAAATCAGTTCATGATCACCATAATAGCAGAGTTCCCCTGTGACCTCAGCAGGTCTGTGATGAAGTCAAGGGCCAGGTGGGACCAAGGACTCTCCGGTACGGGTAAGGGCATCAACTTGCCCGTGGGGAGAGTACAGGAGTCCTTGGACTGCGCGCAAGAAGAACATGAGAATACTGTACGCTGAACCTCCCTGGACATATTCGGCCACCAGTACCTTTCAGAAAGTAATCGGTACATGCGACGGGCTCCTGGGTGGCCCTTTGCGGGAGTCGTGTGGGCCCAGGTAATCAGGTCGACTCTGTACCGCCTAGGTACAAATTGTTTCTCGGGCGGACAGTTACTTGGGATCCGGGAGCTTGGGACCTTAGCAAGGCGTTGCTCTAGGGGCCATTGCAGGAAGCCCACAATACAGGATGGCGGTATCAAATAACTCTCCAACTCCCTCCACCACTCAGGGGCATGCATGCGTAACAGCGCATCGGCCTTGGTATTCTGGGAACCCGGGCGATACGACAGGGTGAAATCGAACCGGGAGAAGAATAAAGACCAGCGTGCGTGGCGAGGGGTGAGGCGTTTGGCCGTTCTCAGATATTCTAGGTTCTTGTGGTCCGTAAAGATAACAAAGGGGTGCAAAGCACCTCCAGCCAGTGTCTCCACTCCTCAAGGGCCAGTTTAATGGCCAGCAGTTCACGATTGCCTACATCATTGTTCCGTTCCGAGGGGGAGAGCTTGCGGGAAAAGTAAGCTACTGGGTGTAGTTTGGGCCTCTCCCCATACCTCTGTGAAAGAATGGCCCCCACTCCGACCTCTGAGGCGTCGACCTCCACGACAAAAGGCCTAGAGGGATCCGGGTGTCGGAGTATAGGAGCCGTAGTGAACGCCCGTTTCAGTTTCTCGAAAGCCTCCTGGGCGACTGGGGACCACTGCAGGCGCTGGGGCTTACCCTTCAGGAGTGCTGTCAGGTGCTGCGCTACCTTGCTGAAAACATGGATGAATCTTCTGTAAAAGTTAGCAAAGCTGTGAAACTTTTGTACATGGGGATGGCCATCCCACTACTGCCTGGATCTTGTGTTGATCCATGGCGACCCCCCGTGAGTTAATGATGTATCCCAAAAACGAGATGGTACGCTGATGGAACTCGCATTTCTTGGCCTTGACGAATAAACAATGCTGAAGGAGGCGTTGTAGCACACTCCGGACATGTCGGACATGTTCCTCCAGGGAGGTCGAGTAAATTAAAATATCGTCAATATATGAGTTACGTATCGTCCCAACATGTCCCGTAGCACGTCATTGATGAGGTTCTGGAACACCGAAGGGGCATTTGCGAGCCCGTACGGCATTACCAGATACTCATAATGCCCGGAGGTAGTGCTGAAAACCGTTTTCCACTCTTCTCCCTCTCTGATGCGAATCAGGTTGTAGGCAATGGATAACGGT